CCGGAACTGGTGAGGCGACTTGGTCAGATTGCGACCCTAATCGCGCCGATTGAGACGAGTTCGCAACGTCGTGAACGATTTCGTTAGTCTTACTAGGAGCTAAGCGTGGCAGGAACGCGTTTGCGGCGTAGTGGCCGCCGTTTAAGCTGCGGCTTAACTCGGCTTAAAGCATTACTCTCTCTCTCTCTCTCTCTCTCGCTACGGTTTCGCCTCTCTTCATCGTACTTCCGCCTCGTTCCGTTGCTCGGTCCGCGCGGCTTTTAATCGAGCGCCAGCGGATTATCTCGACGTCGAATCTACGGTCAGCCTGCAAACCACCGGCGAACTCTGGACCCCTCTGAGCTATTCTATCCGCGCGCGGCTCAGGTGCTCCGTTTTCGAACTCGCAATCCGCCCAGGCATGTCTCCCCTTTCTCGCTTTGACGTTGAAGATCAATCAAATGTGCTATGTTATAAATTGCGAGCAGGCGATATTTTCACGGCCATCAGCAATTGGCGATCAAAATTATATGCGGAGTAACGACTCGTTGGGCGGGACCACTCTTCTTATCCTTCTTACGTGATTAATTATTTTATACAGACATTATATAAATACAGGAAAACGACCAGTTTTGTAATATCATGCGATTATGCTATACTGCACTGAGTGAAAACAAAAAAGTGGTATGATCAATGAAATCTCACTTAAACGAACACATTTTTTTTTTCCAAGTATTACGTTTAGTCCATGGAACAAATTATACAGTCACCGTAATGGGTTGTCAGTTGACTCAACGATTGCGATTTAGTCGGCAACTGTATCGGCACAACGTATTGTTGCGTCAATGCGTAATTTGTTCAATGGATACAATATTTTTGTAAATGAGGCTGACCGTCGATTTTATCGATACAACCGCTTCTTCTCCTCCGTATAAATGCTAGGTACGAACATGCGCGATGCGACACATCCGAACCGTCGTGAAGAAGTGGGCCAGTCGTGAATGTCAACATTCCCCTTAGGAGCGTTTCGGAGATCTCTCGCGGACGTCCGCGCCGATGATCGATCGCTCACCGGTGTGTAGCCGCGATATTTACGGAGCTTGGCTCGCCCGCCACATAATTTCGGCGCTCCCGGTGACTGGAGCGACCGGGCACCATTTGTCGCGGATCTTATCGGCCCGGCTGTCTCTTCGTTTTAAAACGACTCGAGCGTGAACGCGCCCTCGGAACCGTCGGCCTCGCGACGCAATACTCCGCGCGCACCTTCCCCACCGAGCAAACGCACGCCGAGACCACTGCTTTAGCCGGGGATATTTATTGCCCCACGGTGTGTAGCCTTATCGAGTGGCCCCGCCATGCTTGAAATTGTGAGAATTCCAGCTAAACCGTCCCTCCGTCGCCTATATGCGCGCACATTGCCCCCTCCCACCCCCCTCGTCCTACCACCTTTCGCACGTACGACACCAGCGGGATCGTGTACGCGTGTGCCCACTAACGGGACAGAATGTAATGGAGAGAACGGTACGGAGCGGGATGGAAGCGATGGGACGGAAGGGGATCGGGAGGAAGAGAGGGAGGGAGAACGAGAGGGAGCAGAGGGGCCTTTGACTGGCGCACGAAGGGAACCAAACCAGCCCCTCAGGTTGCTCGGCAAGGGTGCGCGATATTGATTCCTACCTACTCTCTCTCTCTCTCTCTATGTCTACTGCTACTACTACTACTACACCATCACCGCTTCCAGCGCGCGGAAGCTCGGTTTTACACTCGGACCAGCACTGGGCATGATTCCGGTGCTGGTTGCACCGAGGAAGTCCCCGCTGCTTCTGCCAGACAAAGTTACTCGTAACTGGAGCGCCCCGACGAGACGACTCATTCGAGGCTCGTACTTAGAGCGCGCGAGATCACGGCGTTGATCGTCCCGGAATCAACGGGATCTATTCAAAGCGAATCCCGAGCGCGCGATATCGGTCTTGAAAAACCAGGAAACTGTGAACGGCCTCATTAATGCGTATTCTCGTAGGGAGACACACGCTCGTTCGGAATTTTGTTCCTGTGAACTCTTTGGGTAGACAGTCTCGGTCGTGAATGTTGAATTACGCGACTATTCAGAATAGTTAATTTCGACTATCCGAGTACCCGAGTCTTTCAGTAACTGAATATAATATACGGCTAATTTCAAACGTTATTATTATCTGTTATTGTTAGGAATATCAATAATGTGTACGTCTAAAATTAACCGTATAGTTACTAGAAAGACTGGGCTATTCGGGTATTCGAAATTCACAGTTATTATTATCTGTATATCTGTTATCGTTAGAAATATCAATAATTCGTAATGCCCGAAATTAGCCGTATATTTACTGAAAAACTCGGCTACACGGACAGCCCATATTCGCAAAAGAAAAAAAAATGAATCGAATTGTGAAGCAGTGACCGTCAAAGACCTGCGTTCAATTTTCCTCTTTCGTAAGATTTGGGTCACCGGGATGTGATAAGATAAAGCCGCGCCGTCGCTCTTTTTAATTGTTATCGAGCCAATGTGACCGATAATGAGCTCGGATCTGTGTACGAATAAAAAGTCCTTCGCGAGATGATGCATATGTGCGTGCGCGCATGCGTATACGCGCGTTGTTTCACGGCTAAGCGATGCTCGAGCGGAACCCGATATCATATCGATATTTACGATTATCCGTGCCGCGCGAGCGATCGGATCGCGTCTCGCTCCATCACTGATGATTCCGAACGCGGTGGTGTGAGGTAGCTGCGCCGCCCCTCTACGGCTTCCCGTGTTATACGTTTACAGCTTTCCGATATCTAACTTCTGCGCCCTTTTTCCACGTCTCAATGAGCCACGAGGCGCGATCGTTCGCGTACACCGACGGAACCGGCGGCCTCTCTCTCTTTCTCTCTGCCCGGCGATCGATAGCGATCTATATTGCAGACGGGCGGTCGCCCCGAGTGGAGGACGACGGGGTCTTCGACGCCTCAGCGATCGCTGAAGAGGCTATTTGCCTTGCGCTAGTGGTGGTAATAGCGGCGCGCAATTCCGCGGCTCTATTATGATAACCGAAACTCCCGTCGGAACTACTAAACGCGATATAGGTAGCCTCCGCCGGGAAAGTCGACGGCCCTTAGACAAAAAGCGGCTCTCCCTCACGGCGGAACGCGCTATTCGCGCGCACGTTAACGGAGACCTTTCGCGATACGTTATGCCGCGAACGGGTTTAGCCGTCGCTTCCATGCCCGGTACGAAATAGCCGCGAGAACCATTTTCATGTTAGATCCTATATTATCGCACTTTACATTAACGCGACCTGGCGCAGCGTCTACGTTTCGAACGCGATATCGGGAAACTATCTTGGGAACGCGTCTGGTCGACATTTTTCAACCGGATCCGATTTACGGGAATGTTAATGCGAGTGTACCTCTGTCTGCGGGATGACCGGTTCGATGAGATTTCGTTCGAAACGGTACGGACATATTTATTATGCCGGCTATCGCCGGATTATTTCGAGCTGATGCGAACGCGACGCTACATAATCAATTTTGGCCTCCGTGAATGAGGAGCAATTCCATTATCGTTATATAAGCGGCCATCGTATTTGCTCAGCTCTGCCATCTAGTCATTTATAAGTCGCTTTTTGTCATTCTTTCTTGACAAGTCACTAAAACATTCACTATTATCCAAGTGGGTCACTATGGCCACTTTTTTCCAGAGTTGCCGTTATTTTTGTAAAGTATGGACGTTCTACATATATTTTTGCCAACTCTTTTAATAAAACCGCTCCGAAAGCGTGCTTGTATCATTCATGTACAGAAAGAAAAAATTACTGAATACAAATAGTTTATTAATAAATAGCTTTAGCAAATTTTTATTTCAACTTTGTTTACTCCAAGTAAATTTTACTTGGATCAAGTAAATATATTACCTGATTCAAGTAAAAATTTATTAAGGAATACTGGGATAATTATTTACTTGAATTTAGTATTTTTTTCTATGCTCTTAATTTTTTTTCGTTATGAACTTTCAGATCGTACTATGAAAAAAATTTTCGTTATATGTTAAATTATTCAAAGATAAACTTGGGAAGATAAAAGTGTTACTTTTCTGGTTAAAGTGGCCTTGGTTATTTTTAGAATTTTACAAAAAATGCCATTTTTGGTCACTATTTTGATGTGTGAAAGGTCACTTTTTATCACCTTTCCTGCCAAGAAGCAGTCGCTATTTCATTTCTTTTTGTTCCGGCGACAAGATGGCAACGCTGTGTCTGCTCTATCAATCCTTCGGGACATTTCAAGACGCGAAGGATGTCCGCGCTTGTCGTTGAACAGACCGGTCTTTTTCGTCACCTTTGCCCCCTCGGTTACGGTGATGATCTTATCTTTCATGAGACTACGAGATTAATAATACGAGATCGGTACTGGCCGGTTGAGATCGGAAGATGAAGGAGACACCAAGGGGGCGGGGAAGAGAGAGAGAGAGAATGCGTGTTCGCTTCTCGCATCAGACAAATACAAGACAATGAAGATTAATGCTCCGGCCTCGTTCTCTTCCTCTGACCGTTCCCCGGGTCGACGGCATCGTGCGAACGTTTCGGTAATCCGTAGGGAGAGGTGTCCCCTCGGACACGACTTTGTGACTGTGGCGCGCAACCCTGACCTCAAATGTAGCCGTGGTCGGCGAATCTTTGCGGTAGACACATTCAACGCGAACGTGACCTTACTGTTTGTCGTCGGTTTCAGCGATGATTCGCGACTATGAGGATCAATGATGCCGTTTGATGGTTGCTCAATGGATTATAATCGTTTAGTTCGATTTTGCGATCCTGCGAGTCTAATCAGCGCGTGATTTATCAACGCGACGTTAATAATCGCGAATTTTCGTACGGAGCGACGGGATAGATTTACCTGTCGCGATCGCACGCATTCCTCTTGGGTGGCGGCGCATGCATTATAGATCCGACTCAATCGCACGACGACGTTAACCCGGTCTTCAACCCCGTCGTTTCCGTGTGTTGCAGAATAGCAGTCGGCGTGACATGGATGTGAGCTTCACGAACGTGTTAGAGGGGGCTCGCCAGTACTTCCAGGGATTGCCCGTGCCGAGTACAGGCGGTGGAGCCGCGTCGGTGGATCACAGCCTCGCGACTTCCGCCTCGTCCACGTCGGCGACGACGCACGATCATGGCGCCTCGTCGCAGCCGATGGCGGCGGCTTCCGCCAGCGGTGGCAGCGGCAACGGTATCCAAGAGTCGAGCCGTTACCCCACCGACGTCAGACCGTCGTCGGTGGAGGGCGGCGCTACGAGTTCCAGTGCTTTCTGGAATCCGCACGTAGAACCTTACCCGCCGCAGCCGACGAAGGTCGAGGTACCGGACACGAGGCCGGGTGACGAAGGCGCCGCCATGGAGCCCAGTTCCTCCTCCAGCGTCACTCTAACCGAGATGCAACCTTCTAATCACCAGTCCTCGTCATCTTCCTCCTCCGCAACCGCGTCATCGAACTTCTCGCAGAGGCCGCCGACGTCGTCCGCTTCCTCCTCCGGCGAGCACCACCATCCTCCGAGCTCGACGCAACACATGCAGCCGCCACATTCCCCCGGGCCTGTGTACCAGCAGCTCAACAACGTCAGCAGGACGTCCTTCACCGCGGCGGAGATGCTCGCGTCGTCGCACACCCCGACCTACCAGACCGCCAACGATCGACAGTCCCAGCCGATCGTCGCGCAGAGGACCCAGTACTACCCGCGTTACCATCATCCGGACATCACGAAGAGCGCGCCGGCACCGTTCTCGCAGAGTTCCATCTACCAGTCGGCCAACGTGGCGCTGGCGTCCACGAGCGCGATCCAGCAACCGAGCACGAGGCCGACGCCGGTGGAGCAGAGCAACGCTCAGTCGCATTGCGCGCCGGAACGACTGCCCGGCACTTACGGCAACGTGCCGCCGTCTCAGAGTCCTCTCGGCGGCTCCGCGGTCTACGATTCCTCCTCCTCCTCCTCGTCCTCCTCCTCCTCTCAGAGTTACCGCATGGGTCAGCATCATCAGTCGATTCGCTTGGCTGCTTCCGCGAGCGTCAGCGACCGATCGCAGCACTCTTCCGTCGCCGCTTCCTCCTCCTCCTCCTCCTCTTACATCTCGTCGCCGATATGTACGACGAATCCGTCGGTCAGCACGCGTCAGCTCGGTGGCAGCTCCTCCGGTCACATTCCTTCGTCGCAGAATCTTCCGGGGCACATTCCTTCGTCGCACCATCATCCTCAGCAGCATCAACCGTCGCACATGCATCATCCTAGTCGTATAAACCCGTCGTACGGAGGTCGCTCGTTACCGCACGGCGGCGCCTCGTCGGTCCCGGCGGCCGGTCACTCGCAGATGCCACCGCCTTCGACGAACCTGAGCGGTTACCACGCGGCACCGTCGCCGCCGCACCGGCAGTCGCACACCGGCTTCCAGCCGCATTCGCCGACCTATCCGCCGCCGCCGAACCGCTCGACGTCGTCGTCGACGTACAACCTGCCGGCCAGCTCGCAGCATTACCAGCCGCCGACGGCTTACGGGAGCAACAACCCTTACGCGCCGCCGCCTTCCCCGTCTTCGTACCATTCCTTCCAGAAGACCCCGGCGCAGCCGACGAGCTACTACTCGCAGCCCAGCCGATCGTACGGCATGCAGCAAATGTTGCCGCAGACCGCGTACCCCGCCGGCAGCAACTATCAGCAGGGCAAGCACGCCGCGACGTACAACGGCGCGGACGCGAAGAGGAGCGCGATGGACGCGCCGTACGGGACGACCCACCGCTCGGCCGTGCAGAGGAGCGGCAATACGCACAACCTGCCGCCCATCGCCGCACTCTCCTCCTACCATTCCAACAGGAGCCGCGAGCCGGTGGGCGCCAAGTCGGCGCAACGGCAACGGGCGAAGATGGTCTCCTCGATCGCGATGCATCCGCAGAGGGTCGCGCCGACGGTGATGATCCCGGTGAACGGCAGGACGACCACCGTGACGAACCTGTCGTACGGCAGCCGGTACGCCGGCCAACAGAGCTACCCGTCTTACGCCACGACGATGGCGCCCAGTCATCACGGCAGCAACTCGACCAGCAGCACCACCGTCACCTCCATCGGCGGCGGTACCGCGAGATCTTCCGTTCCAGCCGGCGGGATTCACGCGTATCAGTCTTCCGACGAGACCGACCGGTCGGCCGGAGCATCCTCCTACCATCACCATCAGCCGTCGGCGCGAACGACCGAGGGTGGTTACGCCTACAAGGAGTATCCTCCTTACCAGAGCACCACGTCGTCGTCCAGCGGGCAGCAACCCGGTCCAACCATGGCCAGTTCCCCCTCGTCGTCCGGCAGCGCGGTGCGGAAGCGAGAGTCCCCTCTGGACCTGTCCGTGAAGACGGTCAAGACGTCCGCTGATTCGACGGCGCAGGACGATCTCGAAGCCACCAGCACGGACAAGCACGTGAGCAGCTCGAACGTGAGCAGGTCGATGCCGCCTCCGCAGCCGTTGTACCCGTCGTCCTACGACTCGCGGCCGTCGAGCAACGGCAGCTCCGTCAGGAATTCGATCACCTGCGTTCGCACGTCCACACCTCAGGCGGTCTGCGCGCCGAAGGTTGATTTCTTGCCTGATTTCAACTCGGCGCCGTTGCGCCACCAGGCTCAACCGCCGCACGAGCACGCCGTGCTTCGGAGGAGCGCCGCGCAACAACAACTGTACGTTCCACCACCCTCCCAACCGTCGCACCACGCCAACAACACCGCCCCACTGCCTCACATGTCCACGTTCAAGAAGCGTCCACTGCCCACGACGCAGATGTACGACAGCCTGTCGATAGCGCCACCGCCACCGTCCTCCTCCTCCTCCTCCTCGACATCGTCGACGTCATCTTCGTCGTATCTCCAACCGAACGACTCCATGCCTTCGAGGTTCTCCAAGTACCCGCCGATGGTGGACCCGTCGCGCGTCGGCTCGGCCGCGTTGCCCGCGCAGGACTACCCGCACGACCCGGCCAAGTATTACTTGGATAACAAGAGCAAGTTGGGTCAGCAGTACCTTCAGCGTGAGCGGGGGCCCTTCAAGAGACTCGGCGAGCCTTTGTACCCCGGGCCCAGCAAGCAACCTAGGCTCGCTTGGCCGGTGACCGCTGACAAGCCGATCGAGCAGAAGCTGTCGACCACGAGTGCGTTGAACGAGCAACAGAAACGGCAGGAGGTGAGTCTGCCGGCCCCGAACGGGGCGCTGATGACACCCGCCGCTTACGAGCAGAGACCCGACAGCGGCTACTCCACGCCGGAATCGTCCAGGTACCAGCAAGCATACTGTGATAAGAGGAACTATCCGGATTCCAAGATCGTGCGAAGCTCGCCGACGTACAGTCACCCGGTGATCTCGAAACCCTCCTCCGCGCCGCAGCATCTCACCACCGCTCAGCCGACGTACTCGAGCTACCGGCAGGCTCAGAAGACGACGTGTCCGCCGGTGGGAACGTCCGGCGGCCAACCGATGGATCAACCTAGCAATACCGGCGCCGACAAAAGGGTGCTGAACTTGCTCAGGAACAGTTTGGAGAACAAGCAGCAGAGGGAAGAGCAGTTGAACAGCCAGCAGCCTATTTTGGTCAACCATAGTCAGCAGAGCTTCCAGAATAAGGTGAGATTAAAATTCTATCTGTACCTAACCTGTAAGAACTGTGCTATCGCCCGAGAGGATCGCGATAAGTTTAGCACTCTGACAAAATGACGCCTTCCGCGGGAGTATTTTCAGCTTTCGCTGAGTACGCGCGCCACCGGGGAAAATAGAAACCCGACCGTTGGCGAAGAAAGTAAGAGCGCGACGCGAAAATCGCGATATTTTAGTGTGGTTGATTTTATCAATTGAGATTGATTCGATCGATCGGTTTGCGATTTAACTGAAGTCGCGAATTCAATCAATTTAACTCGTTATCGCGGTGAAAATTCGAAGCAATCTCACCGATACCGATATCTTTCAGCTCACCAAAGCAGGCTTATCTTTAGATGAAGTTTTTGGAACATACGTCCGTATAATTTATATTTTTTATATTTTTATTGCAACTTACTTTAACTTATTTCGATTTATTTTGGTTTAGTGCAAAGTTTTCTACCGTGTCGAAGCCATGTGCACATTAAAACAACATTTTGTATTTGTGTTAAAATCGGTCCTTGTTAAAATTTTCGTGCTAAATCGCTTAATATATTCACGCGCGTGTTAATTTAACATATTGTGCTTATGTTATCTCGATATTTTATGTCGAGTCGATATTCAACTCGTGTCAATGTTAAAATAACTCATTTCATACTTCAATCGTTGATTAACATATTGTAGATATTAATTTTATGCTAATTTTTACGTCGCTTTTCAATATGCGACGCGCGTACACGTTCGAATATATATATAACTTTTCAACATATTAACTTTGTGTTAAATTAATACATAAATTCGTGTGGACCGTTTGAAACGTATGAAATGTGTTAAATTTAACTCAAAAATCTTACTGTGTAACGTACTGTGTGACGGTATTCATAATTTGAAAATTGAGTCAACGTGGTTTGAAACTCTTCGTCTCGCTCTTATTCTGGAAAGAAATAGAAACAATTGTTAAGTCACGCCATTGAAATGATAAGAATTGCATTTCGGGAATTGTTCTTAAATCGCGCCTCTCGAAGATTTTAGATCTGGGTCACATGCCACTTGACATCGTTTGCGTTCTTCCGCGATGTCTTCTAACGTATGTCTTCGCACGCGTAACTGATATATCCTTGCGTCTTCATTTTCGCGATCTCGTTTGTCACTAAGTCCGATACTGCGGTAATATTATAGAAAAACGGTGAGTCGTTTTTTTCCATTTGAAATCACGGACTGTTCGGCAATGACAACGCGTCGAACGCGAATATATCAGCGCAACTCAGGCTGCCGATAAACATCGTTCCCGTGAGCGGTCATTTCTAACGAACAAAGAAACAAACTCTTTCACTTGACAGATATTTCCATACAGCGGATTTAAACTTTCCAATGAGAGATTCGCTAAACTTCCTGAATGTTTCTCGTCCTCTTTGTTCGGAAGCTGAATCGCGAGATCGACGGCCGCACGCGACTTGACACAAATGCACCACTCACAGATTGTCACAATCGTCTTTTTCCGGTTTTTTTCATCGCTATGTTATTTTGCTTCGTGATTATGGATTTTCGGTCGTTGCTCTCTCCGTGCTGACTAAAGTCGCGAGCATTTCACTTGGCGAAAATAAAACGTCGGTCGCTGTAGGTCGGTGGGTGTTCCATGGGCGACTCGGTTTTGTTTGCGCGATAACCATGTATCTCGGCGAAACGTGGTGTGCGAGTGAAAAAAATGTACAAATGGTTCTCTGTGAAATTATACGGAGTATGTCTGAACTCCACCGACAAACCCACCAGGATAGATTCTATATGAAAAAGTAAATAAAAAAGTAAATATATATCCTCAAATGCTTCGAGTTTCTGAGATATAGCTGCCATAATCTCAGTTTAAAAAATATATCTTATTCATTAAATCATGTTTTTACAAATTAGTAACTCAATATATAACATATTATTATAAAAATTGTTCAAAATATCTACCTTCTCTATGCATAATTGACATCTGTGGAGTAAAGGATGTGCGTACACATTCGAACGTTGCTTCATTATTTCTAGCGCTTATCGCAAACCTGTTGAATTCTTGAAAGTAGTCCATCATTTATAGAAATATCAAAATTGATAGATATTATCTTCAGGAACGAATAAAAAAATATATATTATTAATCCGCTTATCGCGACATTTTTTCTTTCATCGTTGTCACTTTCTGAAGGCTATTTCTCAGAAACCAACCCGGGTTCGCGTGTCGATAAAAAATCCGTCAGAATCATGTCAAAGTCAAATCGAAATGATATGGAAATCAATGTTCGATTTGATATTTGTAAGACTTCATCATGCGACGTCTAGAAGATATTATGTAAATGTTGACGATCTAGTTATCCAGTTTATATCATGTCCACATTAAATTGATGCATGGATATAACGGCTCGACTTGGATATAATACTGGTGGTACCGACTAGATTGTCGATAATCAGTCGGCAGCTGTATGATGTCTTCTACACATGACACAGATTAGCTAGACATCGACATGTACATCAACATGATATTAGCAAAGTGTCATACGGATCTGTCGCCAATGTAACCGTATCGATGAAAATCTAGTAGTCATCAAATCGAGTGATTCGAAAAAACATCGATATCGAATCGACTTGTGAACAAGCTCTCGCGGACGTATGTTTATGGAAGCTTGTTTGCTTATTTTTAGAATCCGTCCTGTAAGTTTGTCGGTCGAGTCCAAACACACCCTGCACTGTGAGCAAAGCGCTCTCTCGAAAAGAAAAATCGCGTCGATTCGTCGTCTTCCTTTCACTCGCGAAGGAAGAAACGAACGGGAGCGCGTTTAGCTCTCGTCAAACATTCGATTATCATCCGCTCGATACGACGATCCTCGAAATTCCCCCAGGTCGTCGCGCCAGTCGAGCCCAAAACCAACATCGGCAGACACAACCTGTCGCCGTTCACGGCTGCGAATCTGCTGGAGCGTAACAGCAACACACCGCCGCATTACAAGTTCCACATGCCGCGGGCGGTAGACTCGATCACTCAGGAGGCGGCGCCCCGCAGCCTGTACGGCTCGAAACTGAACGCGTCCGCCACGTTACCCGGCAAGGAGGCCCTCTTGGGACCTCGCGGTGCCGAGAATCAGATCCACCGCGACAAGGACGACGGCCTCGCTGCCATGTTAGCCGCGAAGATCAGGACGAAGGCGGAATTGAAACAAGTGCGTCTTTGCCTCGATTACTCGCCTCGTAATTGGCGGCGCGCGCGACACGCCGTTGTCGTCGCGCCGAGTTTGCCGCGCGATCTCACGGTTTTAACCTTCTTCTTCTTTAGGTCGGGACGGGCCATTTCGCGACAAAAGCACCGCTCTTACCGCCCCAGGACGCGTCGCCGACGCCGAAAGGTAATCAGTTCGGATGAAACGTAGGGATTGTCAACGGACGCTTGCCCTTTAAATTTCTTGGAGTGAAATCGCGTTTAGAAACGAGCGAGAAATCACTCGAAGCGACAGCGAGAATGCTCAAAATTGCGAGTGACATATAGAAGACAGTGAATGTTCAAAAACGTACGACAGATTTTTAATTCGTACGAGTAAGTGTTTCAGTCGATGAAATTTCTTTCCGCGTTACGATGCACGGAGAAAAATAATTTTGCTGTTGCAGCGAAACTACCGTTGCTGCTGCGTATTCGCTGCAACAGCGATAAAAATTGGCTGGCACAACCAAATTAATGAATTATTCGTAATTAGAGTAGTAGTTATCGTAGTTTTGTTATCAAAGTAGAAAATATTCTGCTGAGTGAATTTGTACTTGGGGGTACGTTAATTCGCTTGTTAGAACAAAATAATGTTTTCCTACGTTTACTAATTTATTCTTATAGCAAAATAATCCAGCGAATGGCAATTAATATGCTTAACAAGTCGTTTTGTTGTCCACGTAGCAACAGATTTCGCTACGACAGCGTAAAACGTGCTGTGCCAGGAAATTATTTTTCTTCATGCGGGGCGGATTTTCACTCTTCAGATGAAAATAATCATCCCACAATTCAGAGCGAAAGAATTCACTCACTGTATGAATGTAAAATCACTCGGGCTGTCACTTCATTTTTCGAGTGGAATTTCACTCGAAGAAATCAAATAACACCGCTCGAACAACGCTCACCGCGCAATAAAATGTAACTACTTGATCTTCGAGTTACATTTTCGTCCGTATTGCGTCATATTAATTGCGCAGCGATTAGCATTACGATTCGTTCAACTTGGTTCGACTTGGCGAGGATCGCGCCCTCCTGTTCGGTCGCATCAATTATATTTGATCGTACACGAGAGACCGTAAACTTCGACTCCCATGTAATCTCGTTTATATTGCACGTAGCGACTGATAGCGCGGCCTCGACGTCGACGCCACAATCCGGCTCGTCCGCGGGCAGCCCGCCGAAATTAACGCGCGAGAAGACAACTTGCCTACCACCCAGAAGACGTCTGTTCTCGAGAACCGAAGATGACAACATGCCGGTTGCGGCGACGGTACCCGCGGCGGCGCCGGCAGCGGCGAATACGGGCACAGTTGCGTCCGCAGTGCCGGCCAGGGCGAGCGGATGCAGAAGCTCGTCCGAGACGTCGGTCTTTGATTTCCGCGAAAGTGACTCAGAGGGCGAGATGCCGGTCCTCGAGCGGCAGACCTTGGAAGAGATGAGGAGGGACAGGAAACAGCTGTCGAAGGTGCAGCCTCCCATTCCCCTCAACGACGCCGTCTGTATGAACACTTCGACCGACCTCGTCAAGATCGAGCTGAAGGTATATCACGGGAAACAAAAAGATCTGCCGATGTAAAAAGATCTTACAGATGTAAAACTTCGTTAACTTAGCAAATCTGTAGCCGTAACATGCGGTGTTGCAGTAATCTCAGAGAGAGATTATGTCAGAGATTAGTGATAAAGTTGGGCATCACGCAGCGAAATTAATTGAAAATATAGTTGGAGACGTTCAACAACGCGTGTTTGTTGAGGTAACGAATGTTTTTACTGTTGTATCGAAAGAGATTTGGTACATTAACGAATTATAGCTGGCAATTAGTTGCTCTGGTTATAGAAGATAACTAAAGTAACAGTGCTGTTTTCGCGTTTCCGTTCTTGCATTATCCCATTTCACGCGATCGGACGTAATTTGGTTGTTCGCAGGAGAACGACAAGATCAACGAGGTCGATCCGTTCTGGACCACTACCTGTGATAAATTTATGGAGCAATTACGTAAGAGAGACGTGAAGAAACGGACACGCACGCAAAACCTCAGCGGTAACGCGTCGTCGAAGCCCGAAGACACGGCCGTTGACAGCGACCGGGATTCCGACACCAACGCGTCGTCGCTGGCTCAGATCAGGCCCGAGAACATAAAGAAGGAGGAACCGTTTGGCGAGCTGAGCGCCGAAGACAAGTCGTCGGAAGCAAAGATCGAGGAAGCCGGGGACTCGGTTTTCAAGATCAAGACGGAGCCCGAGCTAAGTAAGGACGACGATTCGGACGAAGTGCCGTTGATTAAGAGAGCGACGAGGCACAAGTCGATCAAGAAGGAGGACAGCGACGGCGACGAGGAGGTGATATGCAGAAAGAGGAGGGTCCGTCGTGGCAGCAGGATCAAGCTCGTCTCGTCGAGCGGCAGCGAATCCTCGAGCGAGGACAGCGACGGCAGCACCGAATTCGGCCGCGGTTCTTCGGTGGCCGACAGACTGCGCGCCAGGAAGCGGTCGATGAACAACACCTTCGAGAACGAGGGTATGAAGCTTCGCTCGAGGGATGCGACCCCTCACAAGGCGGGCAACACGGAGAAGGAGCCGACGAAACTGTCGCCACCCAAAGGCGGGCCCTCCTCGAAGCGCAAACCGAAGCCGCTGTTCGGTGACGGCAGCGACTTTCGACCTGGGTGGGAGGAGGAGGTCTACGTGTACAAGAAATCCCTGAGGATGCCCACTAGATTGATAACCGTGTCGAAACCGTCGCGCTTCCACCGACTGTCCACGTCGCTGCCGGACTTGGACCCCGGCTCGCCGGCGTTATCCGTCTCGATGGACAGTTCCGACGTCTGCCTCAGTCGCAAGAAGCTCATAGACAGCGACATGGAGTCCAATTACAGCTTCGGTATCGCCGGTAAGATCGACGACGAGGAGGCGACTTCGTCGACGACCGTTTCTTGTCCGCCGAAAGCCATGAAGCATTCCCGCTCGGAAAACAGCTCCATTGTCGATGTTCTCGCGCAGAAGGTCGGCAGCGACAAGATCGACTCGAAGAGGAAACTCAGCCCGAAAGGTAGCAAGGTCCTCAATAAAAGCAGCAACGAACCGGAGCTCTTACCGACGCCCAGTCTCGGCCCGACGCTGTCGTCCGTGACGTCCAAGAGGAACAAGAGTCCGCTGAAGAATCACAAGTCCATGCTGAGAGTGACGGACTCCAACCTGCTCGGCTACTTCCGCAAAGAGACGGTCAACAACTTCCGCGAAGCGTTCAAGAACAACCACACGCTGCCCAACGAGTTCTCCACTCTGGTGCTGAAGAGCAGAACGAGGACGGAGACGAAGGTGATGAAGAAGGAGGCGACCATCCGCGAGGTCTTCGGCGAAGATAGGCCGGCCTCGGCGCCACCGATGCAGAATCGCGACGACACGTCCCAAGACGACGACGACGACTCGCAAAATGAGACGCTGGGGAGCACGTTGGGGAAGGCGCGCACTCTGAAGCAGAGGCTGGTGTCCCGCTTGAAGAACACCAGCATACAGCGGAGTCGCAAGGCGATCGTCAATAAGGCGATGGCCGAGCGGCGGAAAGACTTGCTCAAGTCGATCGCGGACAAGACGCTGCGTCGCATCAAGCTGGAGGAGGAGGAGACCGTGCAAGATGAGACGAACGACGCCAGGGAGGAGGAAAACAACGAGATGGAGGACGACAAGAACGACCCGGAGGCTCCCGGTAAAAAGAGACTGAAGCTTCGCACCAGCCGACGTAAATTCCGCTCTGGATTCGATTATATTCGTAAGAAGAAGAAGCCGATGAAGAGGGATGAGACGTTGCCGAAGGAAAAGAAGAGAGTATGTATATACGTGTATTGTTACGCCCGTGCGTTAAGGTAGTTGGCCCGTCAATTTCTTTTCTTACCCATATTTTCACAGCGTATTCATTTTTCATTTTCAATCCTTTTCAAGGGTTTTAATTTTAATGGAAATACGATCTACACACGCATGCAAAGTTAGAAAAAAAATCAATCATACCAAAGCTGAGATAATTGATGTAATAGCCGCGTTCGGCAGAAACGTTTATTTTACTACTGTTGCAAGTTTTCTGTGCTGAGATCATATTATTCCTCTAAAAGAAATCCAATTTCATAGCTCAGAAAACTTCCAACAGTGATCAAATAAACGTTCTGCTGGATGTGCTGCCAATATTATCACTATTACCAGTGTTAGCGCTATTTACACGTATCACAGATACCAAAATGGTTTCCGATGTCGCGTTTTTAATTCTGGCAATCAAATTATTCTTATGGTTTTAATAAAAAATGTGAATACGGTAAAAGAGGCTTGTAAATATATTAAAAAATAATAAAAGATCGTTAACTATCCAGGTTTTCCAGAAATCGAGTTGCGTTGTATAACGTTATAAATAAAGTTTAGCGTTTCTTTAAGTTCGATACATGGTTATTTCGATTGGGTCGCGCGGACATAACAATATCGATTAATCTCCGACACTCCACCCGCTTCGAGTTCTCCGGCTGATTTCCGTCAATGCCGTTTGAAAACACGACGCTTCGTCGTTTTCCAGCAAGTACTACCGAGGCCCAATCCGGAATGCGTGGGCGATATTCAGTCGGAGATCAGGACGTGGGTTATCAAGAAAGGAGTCGGCGAGACGATCCTGCACCGCGCCGCCAGGCTCGGTTACACGGTAAGATAACGATCGCGTGACACGACGAACTTAGTAAACGGCGACTTGATCTAATCTGCTTGTGTTATTTGCTCCCGCCGTAGGACGTGGCCGCTTATTGCCTGGAGAAGCTCAACAACATAGCGAGTCCTAAGGACAACGCGGGATACACTCCGCTTCACGAGGCCTGCTCCAAAGGTCACCTGGAGATTGCGAAGCTCTTGCTGGCCTACGGCGCGAACGTCAGCGAGAGCGCTAATGGCGGTATCAGGTAACGCGCTTCTGTCAACCCGTGGAGATTCTCGCGAGATCGCCGGTTGTTCTCTCGAGTTCTCTCGGTGGGCGGTATTGTTAATCGATCATCGATAGCGAGCGAATAATACATACCCTTTCTCCGCATTGTCAGGCCACTGCACGAAGCGGCGGAGAACGGCGCCACCGAGCTCGTACGGTTGCTGTTGTCTTACGGCGCCGATCCATTGTTAGCTACTTACTCCGGACAAACGCCGCTGACGCTAGCCGTTGACACCGAGGCTCACTCCATTCTTGAACAGCATCTGGATGACGTTCAAGGTCGTGCCACCGTCCCGTGGTCGTTCCCCGTTACGAGTTCTGCTGTTGGTACGTAGCGACGCAAGTTTTTCTCTGTTTGGTGGGATAACTTCAGGACGGGAATCTCGATATTTGAGAAATTAGAGGCCATTTAACATTTATGTCGCATCACAAAGGCGGAAGGAAGTCTATATTAGCTTGCGTGAGACAGTCTGCGACGGCAGGGAGGAAGAGAGTGAAGGTCATAGAACGTCACATTCAGGGCTCGGTTTTTCATTTTCTGCTTAACTCGTGGCTTAGGTTCAACCTAATGGTAATGTAAAAGTCATGTTTTTCTATTCATGGTTAATCAGTAAACTGTAAAAGTTAGCACTATAAAATCGTCAATTTAATCATTAAACATGAATAGGAAAAAATGAAAACGCAATTTTTGCATTATCGTCAGTTTAAGTTTAAACCATAAATTAAGCAGAAGATGAAAAGCCGAGCCCAAATGGCATTGTAAACGTGAATGCGCCTGATTATTCACTTTGTTTCACTTGTACTCGTGACACATGTGGTTACATTTGGTGAAGATTTTTAGGTTTCGACATGTTTTTATGTTATGTTAGTAATGAAAATTTTAATTTTCAAATATTTATTCTTCTAAAAACACTATTTTGACTAAGTGAAATTATAAAATAATGTAATTAATATGATATTATATGCCTGAAAATTATTTGTATTTTAGAAAAGAATAGTGGCGTGCAGTCTAATAATTATTACTCACAATATGGTTATAAGTTATTATTTATCCTGTGTCGGAAGAGGGTAATTTCGCATGTCACGTAATATTGGAAGGGAGCAAAAATATTGTGACGAAATTGTAACGAAACAGGAAGAGAGGGATAAAAAATAGGCAATTTAGCACGACGCAATTGTTGAATGGCTTCTTATTGGGGCGTTACGAGTGTTCCAAAGAAACGCACGATGTACTTTCGTTAACTCCTCGCCGATTTGCCCTCAGATTCCGAGGAGACGGGCTGCAATTCGCTGGACGAAGCCCCGTTGGGTAGTCCCGAGCCGAGCCTGGACGACGTCGAGATGGAAGTGAGCGACATCAATCTGCCCGCCCTGTTCATCCTGAAAAACGACTCTGACAAGTGGGTGCTTCTGCACGACCTCATGGCGATCTTGAAGGTGAAGAGTCGCGACGCCCTCCTACGTCAGATCAATCCGAAGGCGCACTCGGGGCCGCCCACAGTGGCCCATCGCGAGGTGATGCGCGAGCTGAAGCTGCCAGACTTTCTGGAGCAGACGCGCTGCTGCCACTTGCTGAGCGGCGGCGAGAAGATCAATGTGCGCGGCTCCAAGGTCACGCTCATCAAGTACAACGACAAGGTCAAGTCCCTGCTGAACGTGGAGAAGGTGTTGATTAGTCTCAGGTGACAGGAGGCGTCTCTGGGGCGTTCGTCTCCCCAGGCGAGACCGTCGACCTCGATTCTTCCGGCCAAGGAACACCATAATAAGAAAACCGACGGCAAGGCCGTCGTCGTGAAACGTGAACGCCAGCCAGTTTTCCGCCAGCGGAAACGGTAGGGGACAGGTGACGGAAACTCCGGGCTGAGCGTGGCCGATGCCGATCTCCGACTGTGAGAGATTGCGATCCTCGCCGAGATGCACTTCGGTGCCGCAAACAACTGGAACTGACTTGCAACGTGAGAATCGCTTCGAACGCTGTGATGGACTCACTGCTTGTTTCAACGAAGATAGACGCTGGAGACCGAGATGAAGAAGTAGGAGGCAAGTTCCTGTTTTATGCGCCGAGAAAATCCGACCGAGCGACCCATTGGCAACGAGGGATCGTCGCCACACTGAAGATCACACTACTTATATGCCTGTCCAAAGACATTCTCCGGCGTCTCTCGGTTCGATTTCAAGGTAAATCGACCGGATCGTGTGATCTGTCCTATAGTGCACGAATGCGAAGTTTTACCGGCGATCAGAGAGATACAATCGGGTTCCGTTCCTTCACTCGAATGACCGAGTCCGTCGATCTCTGTCACGCGCGAGGAGCCGTCTTGACGTGTGCGGTCGAGACTTCGAGGCTCGTACACCGGTGCAAATGTAGTTTTAGCACGAAACGATTGTCTACCTGATGCGCAGCTAAGAGTGAGGACAATGGAAATTAGCTACCTGTGACATTACATATAGCAGTATTTAATTGGGATATATGCGCGTGTATATCCGTAGAACGATGATATTTTATTAATTCTCTTAAGGACTGATCAATATCAGAAGTTCGTTAACGTGTAACGCTTTTAGGCGAAGAGAACAAGAGGAGAGGTATCGTGTTTGAGGCGCAACGACAGACGAAGCGAAAGGTCTCTCGGTCAGAGAGTGAGGGAGAAAGTTTTTCTCCCGAGCGTCGAACCGAGTCTCGGAAATAGTAATAGTGTTAGTAATAATTAATAAATTATCTTGGGAGGAATAAAGCGTGGCTGTCGTATCGGATATATTTTTATCTCGCACGTGGCTTCGCGAGGTTTCTCCTTTTTTTTTAAACCACTTTCTTTAGGGAAAATTCGGTCCGAGAAGACTCGTGGAATTGAAATGCGCACAGCTGCGCGTTTCATGACGCTCCGTGTGTGTGTGTGTGTGTGTGTGTGTGCGCGTGATGTCTGTGCGTATGTGTGCGCGCGTATTGTAGCGTTAGTATCTTCTTCGAACTCTATTACGGAACGCGTCGTTATATTTAGAATACAAGGATAAACGTTTAGGGCGTGACATCGAAATTGCTGATCATGTTACCACGTCTTAGTCTTACATTTCTGTTTTTTCCTCCTTTTGCCGGTCTTTGTTCGAAGGAATCATGTGTTATCGCGCGAATTATATATTTATGAAGTCCTCATTAATCGCTTCATTGATCATTGGACGCATATAGGTGCTTGCGGAACTGATTCGGGTTTCAATTCGTTGAGTCCGGAGTTGCTATCTCGCCCGTTTATAGGAGATACTAAGAGACACGTCTACGTTGTTGGCGAGTTGAAGATGCAAATTTGCCGTCTAGTCTATCTCGACGAAGAAAATGCACACAAGAATGTCGGTTGAAACTCTTGGTTCGCGCGAGGAGAAGCTGCTTGTATCCGTAGTTTCCGGAACAGCGGTCAGTTTTAATTCGAATGAAGGATGGACTCGACGTCGATAGCTAGCTCAATTCTTACGAAGTGGGAAGTGCAATTCGCGAAATGAGTTTTCTTGTTTCTTTTTTTTTTTTTTTGTTAATCGTCTAGGTGAATCGATCGATGTTCATAGGAATTGTAAAGAGAGAGAGAGAGAAGCAGAGCGAAAGGGTGATATATATGAAATTATATTATTACGAAATGTAATAATTCGGCTGAACACCGTCGAATAACGCTCATTGTGCAATAAAATGTAACTATATTTTATATTTTATCTTCGAGTTACTTCTGTTTTGCGATAAAACGGAGCAATGTGTTAACGCGTCGTATTGGCGATCAGAAACTCGCTGACGAAACAATCTTTCCGAGAGGTAAAGGAAAATTTTTTAGTCTGTGGGGAATGAATGACGCAAGAGTTATCAAGTGTAATCAGCGTATGATGAAATATAATACGACTCGCGCGAGAAAGTTCAAATTAAAGATATTTAACATAAAGTAGGCGCGCGTATTTTTATTTTATATTTACACACACGTAAATCAGAGATCATCGGATCATGAGAAAAGGGGAGAAGGATGGAGAAAAAGGGAGGAGAGAGGAAGAGAGAGAGAGAGAGAGAGAGAGAGAGAGAGAGAGAGAGAGAGAGCAGCGAGTTTCGGTCACCGAAACGACGTCGTGTGTTCGATCGAAGCAATCTAGGATGATAAATTTTAGCGGAAAGTGTGAGGAGCTATTTTAAACGTTGACAATGTTCGTCGATAGTACTTATCGTCGTCCCGCAACGTCCCTTGTACGTCGACTTTTTCGGCGGTGGAGAAGGGACATTCAGTGTACGGACACGTGTGCATATGGACGTTACGGGACGGGGTGCGAGGGGAGAAAAATAAAAAAAAAGAAGGAACGAAGCGTGTGAAGGCTCGATTCGCAATGCTGGTAATGCTGTTGATAACACGTTTAATTTTGGCGCCGTGCACAGAGGTTTCACTCCTTATAAGTCTCAGGGAAAAATCCATGTGTATTCTGGAAATAAGAAAAAAAACTGACGGTGTACGACGGACGACGTATGCGTATGCGAGCGACGCGTATCAGTATGCGCGAACGTATGTGTGTGTGTGTACAGTAGCGTTAGGTGTAAAAACAAAACCGTTCGCTACGATTAGGATTAATTAATATCTGATGATATCGAGTGATATTAATTAATGTTAATTGATATCGATTCTCATCGTGCGAGTTGATTCACGCGCACGGGAGGAGCGTTTAATTTTATTTAACTGATGACTCGAGTACACGCGAGAACAGAGACGCGCACGCGCGCAGTTATTACCGATTGTATATACCGACCTATTTTCAGCAAAAAGAATCGTAAACGAAATAGAAAATAGAACAGAGCGAAACGCAAGAGGATTAATTTTCCCCTTCTCTCCCTCCACCCCCCTTCTTTTTCCGCCCTCTGCGTTCGCTCGTAATTTCCGTACGATCTTCTTCTCTTCTCGGAGCCGTCGAAGAGCACGGGAGAAAGAAAGATAGGAAGGAAACCGAAGTGTACGTATTGTATGTATCTTTTACTTTAACTAGATGCGACAAGTAAGATGTAACAAGTAGAACCGCGATACTTGTTCATATTAGCGCGTATTGTCCGTGTAATGTAAATCATTAATCGACTTCGAAGTAGTCACACACTGTATAATAATATTACTATTATACTACCGCGATTATCGCTACTACTATTACTGCTGCTACCACTGCTACCAACTACTATTATTACCATTAACTATTAATATCTACGAAACTATCTGCTTTTTTATTGTACGATATATACATAATAGCTAGAGATGGATGTAAATTTTCTTAGTTATGTAATGTTCACACATCGCCCCCACTGCTCGCCCCCAACCCTTCTTGTAATTTATATATTCAAGAAACTTCTTTAAATGTGTTAATGCTGCTGCTTGCGAAAAAGAAATTATATATAAATATATATATATAAATGAACAAATATAAATATAAGTATATATATATATACACACACACACACACAACACACACACACGCACACATATATATATATATATACATATATATATATATATATATATATTTTATTTCAGAGGTTTAGTTCGAAACGACGTTGATGCTGATGAACAAATTAGAGTCTTACTGTGATTCGTGTAAAGGGATAATTAATGAAAGCAAACTATCGTTATTATTGTCATCGCCCGTAGTCGTTATAAGTGAAGTTGCGACGGACTCGACGAATGATTTTCGTAATGAGAAAAGAACAGACTTGTGATTTTCCTTTCGCTAATAACAATTACAAGTTATCCGTTCGATGTAATAAAAACAAATATTTTTACCGAAACTCTTATTCCTCTCCCCGTTAACCTCATCACTATCTGTTTTCTCTCTCTCTCTCTCTCTCTCGAAACACTGTGACAGACACTTGGCAAAATTGCTTCGACTCTTTTCAGATGTCATTATCATTTACTCGCTAATTGGTTTATTCGTTAGCGGAATACCGCGCTATCAGAAGCACTTTGCGAAATTAAGTGCAGTTCCGAGCCGATTTCAGGCGATATTAGAACCGCGAGATGTTACGCGGGAAATTTCGTGACATAGGTAAGTAAGTATTATGAATTGGTTCCATAAAATTAACTCCCATACCGCTACCGTTGCTGATATCACGATATATATTTCCATCTCGCACCTTCCGTGGAACCTGTGAAGAGAGGGAGGAAATCGCACACAACGCACATTCCACACACGTATACACGACGGTAATTAAAATTGGTAAAACGTTTATTAACTATTTAAAAACGATGAAACAAGGTGAACATGAGATTTTGACAATTCAATAAGTAATATTATTAAATAGACTATAGAGGTGTATAATAGGTATCTGCGATAATTATTCTCTTTTATACGGTCTTTTACATCGAGATAGACGTCTTTCAACTCGGCGAAGCCAGGCCCTCCGTCCTTCAGGCACAAGCTGAAGCTCGTCTCGCTTCGTACCTCGTCACACGTACTCGCTCCATCTCGCAGTCGCGCGCTTAATAATAATTCTAGGACTCGCGGTAGGAAAAAATAGCTCGAAAGCGTGTCGTCCGCGCGAGATTATCGTTCCCTGCGTAAACATTACTACGAAATAAGGGGGAGGGCGGGGTAGGAGGAAGGGGATGGGAGGGGGAGGAAAGAAACGTTCGGTTCTACTCCGGGTGACAGAAGCGATCATCGCGTGTCGGGGCCTCGCGGCCCGCTCGCGCTGGCCTGTGTCATCATCGTCGTCGTCATCATTATCATCATCATCAGCGCCATTATCATCATTATCATCATTATCGTCGTCATCGTCATTATCGTCTCATCTCTGTGGTCGCGACAAAACGTCACCGTGTCACGACAGCTATACATGCAGATACAGCTATATTACAATTAAATTGCTGCAATGACGCACCTCGCGATACAGCAATTCGATTCTCCTGCTCGTGCGTTCCATCAAAGGGGGAGGGGAAGGGTTCTCTAACGTTATACGTTTGCGCGATTAATGCTACACGGAAACGGAAGGAGCAAGCGGACAAAGTGCCGCAGCGCGATGGCACGCGATAGCGCGCGCATTCTCGTGGCCCCGTGAACGAATGAAAGCTAAAAAAGCAGAGTGAAGGGAGGCGGCGGTATCTTTACGTAATCCGGAGTTGCCACTCGGGTCTGCGCGAGTGACCGGGTGAAAAAATCTCTCGAAAGTTCGCGCGCTCTCATTGCACCGGCGAAACGGTGCCAGATCCGCTATTAGAATCCGATCGAGTTTGCGTTTTCTCTTTTCTTCCTCTCTATCTCTTTCACGCGGTGCCCTTCGTCCGTTTGCGCCTTACGTGATTCTCCCTCGACCGTCATAAGTACATCGCATCGAGCGTCGGTTTTCCGTCTTTTTTTCTTTCCCTCTTTCTTTCTCCTTTCCCTTTCCGCAACCAGTCGCACCGGTTCCGCCGAAGATTCGCGCAAGCCGGATCACGACGTCTCATCGAGCCGGACCACCGATCCCTCCGGTGCCCAGCGCTGCACGTTGATACGAGGCGGCGTAAACGAGCCGTTTTTCCGTATTTTAATGAGCAGCCTGTGAATCTCCGGCGTAAATTCTAATTCACGCCGGAGATTTTAACCGGAGCGAAATCGGCGGATCGCCCGTGACGATTCGTCGTCGTCGTCGTCTCGTCGCGAAGCCGAGAGAAACGCGCGCGAGGGCGCGACTTCCCCTCTTCGGGCTCTCCCTCTTTTCTCGCTTCTTCTTCCCGCGGTCCGTCTCGACACACACACGCACGCGAATTTATGTGTATTTACAATAATACATACCTACTATCGTAGTAATAATTTAGTAGTGATATTTAAATTACAATAATGCTTTTTTGTGTTCTTCCTTTCTCTCTTTCTTTCTATCTGGTGCACGTCTTTCTCCACACAACTTCCTGCCGTCCTGTTGCGTCACCTCCACGCAAATATAATGTTGCACATAACCCAATTACTGGCTTAGTCATCTAGCTGTACAAAACATTATATATCGCTATGTGTCTAACATCTAAAGATTTGTCCCGTGAGGTTTCTCCTCTCTTTTTTTCTGCTTTTTCATTTTGCGTGTATTTCTTGTAATCGTGAGGTTCGTTAACATACACAACGTCATTCCGCGTTAGAGACTACTGGTAGTATCCGCGCGCTCCTCCTCCTCCTTAGTCGTGTTGTACCGTCGTTTCTTTCTCTCGATTTCTCGCCCGTCGGGCTCGTTCTCGCAGCGACGCTGACTGCGCTTTTAAGTACATTAAAAAATACCGAATATACGCGACCGAACAAGCGCCAGTTGGCGGCGCGGTCGGGCTTGTTCCGAGGAACGAGGTGGCGGCGAGCCGGTGGCGTTGCGCGACCGCCCGAGACGCCAGGAAGTCGTGCGAGCGAACATACAGAACGCCACCGGTTCGCGAGGTTACTCTTCCTTTCAGTTTTCTTTTCCTTGCTTGCTCTAATTAAAATTACGGACGATCACACACGAACAATCGACGATCATGCGATACGAAGTTACAAATTTCTCTCTGCGCCACCGCGCCCGTGTCACGTCGAATTTTACGACGACTTCCCGTCGTCAGGATGAAGCTCAACCGTGCCCGGGACACCCCTCCCCTCGTATCCTTCGTTCGATCTACCGGATTTCATGTTCGGGGAGGGGTGTGAGTCCTGACCGACTTAGAATTATATCGATTTTTCGCGCGGAAGCTGGGAAGAGGAAAAAGATGTGATTGAGGCTTGGTTGGTCGGTCGGTCGTATTGGTTGTCGTGTGACCCGCGGTTTAAGTATTTCTTTTCTTTTTGTCGGTTCGAATCCCTCGCGACGATCTGCGTCACGTCGCGAGTCTCAATGGGGAACCTTGTGCTACGTAGGTAATCGGAGGGACACGGTGGGAGTGGAAGGAATAAAAGAGAGGGACAGGATGTGGGAGAGGGCGTTGGAGCGTTACTTAATTGTATTTATCGTGAGTAATTAAGCTTGACGCCTCGGTGGCAGGGTCCAAGCGTTGGGCCCGTGCTGAGCGTGGGGGGCAGGACGTCACAGTTGCTGGTCCCTGCAGGGCACCCAGATGTTCGGTCCTGATTGTTCTGAAATGACCTCCTTCACTTTCACGTAGATCTCCTCGGGGGTGTCACCTTGGACAACGGCTGCGAACAGAGCGCCGTTTGATTACGCGATCGAAGTATCGCGAGATCGAACGTGTAATTTTCTCTTTATAAACCTTCATCTACGGATTTTGCGCTACGATTCTAAGCAGATTTATGAACAAATCGTAACTTATGAAGCGATCGTAAGAATCTGACTTACGGTTTTACGTAAGCTGCAATTATGTACTGGCATCTGTATTGCTCATCGTTACATGTTTACACTTGCGATGAGTGACTAATTTCATGTATACATAACCCGATATTTGCGAGAGTGTCGCGTAAAGAAAGACATCAGTGTAAGACGTGTCGTCGACTTATTTGCAGGTGTTCCGATTATTTTAAACATGAAGTATGTTTAAACATGAAATACTAATTATTAAGTTGTGTATAATTTTAAAACCTTTTTATTTATATTTTTTGATAGTTACTAAAAGGTCATTCAACAATTATATCTTACTATAAGAGGGGAGTGTCAATTATCTTATGTGACGACTGCGATAGCAGGGTGGGGAGAATCAAGATCATGGAAGGTTACATCAAGCTTTCGGCACACGGTGTTTATTTTCGTGCTGAATCTAAAGAAATTTAGTAGCATAATGTGGGGACAAGAGGAGAGGGGGGGGGGGTAATTACATATGCCACGTAATATTGGAAAATCCAAATACTCTGTAACAAAATGCGACGAAGGGAAGAGGGATGGAAAATACTCAAATTTCGCGTGATGTAATTGTTGAATGACCCCTAAGAGATTTTCCATAATACTTGTGACTTACGAACAGTTTCTTGTTAGTCATAGTTGGTCAAGATTTGCGAGAAATTATAGATATTTACGAGTGATCGTAAGTCGATACGCATAGAATTAATAATAATGAATTTTTACGAGTTTTATGAGAATAAATTACGAATCTTATGATTCTGTCTAAAATTGCAACATTATTCGGGTAGATTGTATTCGTTGCTTAAACGAGTCGCGCCAGATTGTCTGTGGAATGGTCGAATCGTTGCGATATTTTATCGAGAAAGATTGACTCACCAGTAAAGTATTCACCAAATTCTTGCTCCATCTTCAGAGCGCGCTCATACGTTTTCTTCGCCTGATCGTCTGTCATTCTCTTGTTCATCTCCCTGTGGAGCAAAGAATGAAGATCTCGATATACGGAGATAGCGAAATTATAATATGAAAGACCACGATTGCTGAACACTCACATGACAGACTCAACTGACTTCGGCTTGATGAAGACGGCGATGGGGTAGAGTTGTGCCACTTGTAACCTCTTGATAGCATTTCCACTCACATCAAGAATACAGTGCTTGCCCTGAAGCGAAAATACGTAGGTTCTCGTAAGTTCTCTCACCGACACGACACACGCTATTCAAATTACGATTGGTCGAGACATACCTTTTCGGCGACTTCTCGCACGGACGCAACGGATGTCCCGTAAAGATTGTCGTTATACTGCCCGGCCTCTATGAACAAATGATTCTGTATGTCTCTCTCCATTTGCTCCCTAGACGCCACGAAATGGTAGTCCCGTCCGTCCACTTCGTATTCTCTTCTACACCTCGTCGTGTCTGCAAACAAACGAGTTTCGCTTAGACACGTGAGCTAAGTGACGCGAAGGCGTACACGCGCGATATCGCGCCGTGAAGATGAACTCACGTGGAACGCAGCTGCCGAACTTGTCGGGGAACTCGGAGATGAGATCGTCGTTAATGCGATCCTTGAGCGGTCCGAGGACGATCACCGGACGTGTGTACTGTATCGTCAGCTGCTGCACGGCCTCGTACGACAACACGTTTTCTTCGCTGCCTGCAATAGTCCGATCGAATGTACATCCGGCTCCTCCACACGCCCCCGCGGCCGGGGGCGAGGGGAGGTTTAACAGCAGCGATCACCCCCTGTTTCAAACCTCGACGGCACAGTCTCGCACGCTCACGCGAAAAGAAAGCAACACACACTCTCCCGAAAACAAGCTCGACGACGAAGATCCTCACGACACTCCGCTTCCTCCGCTGAGAGACAAGGGGCCTTCCCCGTTCGACCCCTCGCGATGTCGCTGATTAATCGACTGCCACGAGAAACGGACGCGGGACAATGTTGTTACGCACACACACTCAGACACGCGCACAGAGCGGAGCGCTCGTTCGGAATCACTTCTGACTGTATCGATCGCGGCCCAGTCGAATTCCGCGCACGATAGATCGCTCCCCTCGTTTCTTCAACGACCCGCTCCCGAGCGGTTCCTGAATCTCTCGCTCCGCTCTGGCGTCCACTCGGACGAATACACGTTTTTTCCTTCGTGGGACGAGACACGAGCATGCTTTCGGCGTCCGGGTAAGATCGAAGCTTGGGGGGGGGG